CCTCTTAAGCGCCTCTGAAGAGGTCGCTTCCCATTCAATATTGAGGCCAAACATGTGGTCAATGGACTCAATAACTGTTTCATCACAAGACAAACACAATTGATTGATAACTCTTAGGACAGAGTAAGAGTAAAAATAAATACAGACTTGAATTTGGGTTTGAAGTGATGACAGACTTCCCAAACAAACACTCATTTCCGACCAAAACTATAATTAAAGAATAATATTATCATTTAATTCATATCATAATCAAAACAATCAACACTTTGACCACTCAATAGGCAGTGGAGAGGTGTAAGGCATGTGTGGCCATAACCCGCGGCCTCAACCCCTGCCACACGTGACCCGAGGCCAGAGTGAACCGACCCGTCGGCGTCCTCTGTGTGGCCGCCGCTGTCTTGAGTGGCAATTAGTGTTCATATCATACCAATTGTGTTGAAATAAATGCCAATCAATGAGTGAGTGATTTGATCACATCATCGGCTGATATGACAAGTGGTCAACACTTATAACTACTAATGATAATAGGGGTTAATTTGGGTGACAATTAGTTTGAAGCACTTGTTTGTGCAGTCAATACAACTTCAATCAGAACTTCAATCAGTGATCGAATGTATGGATAAATAAAGTGAGAGTTTGTGTGCATTCACTGCACATAACGTACGAGAAATACAGAGTCAATACAATTGTGTGCAAAGTGTGTAAGCGTTACGAATGTGGTGTGTATTTGTGTCCAAACGGATCCATTCAATGGATAGTGTCCTCAAATGGTGTGTCAATTATCAATTGAGTCACTTCTTGTGCCCAAACAGTTGACCACAAGTTGTGGCGAAGTTTTGTGGCCGTAATTGATGTGCGAAAGCGAAAGGCAATGCATTTTGTGCACACATTTGTGTCGCATCACAGCTATTAAGGCGTCGATTAAGACTCACAACCAAATAGTCTCAAAGAGTTAGTCAAATGAAAGCCATTGGACGGCAAGTGTCGGGTCCAGCAATCGATGGTAACGCCGCGCAAAGTGATGGACAAGTGGTGTGAATGTCTGGTTGGAAGTGTTGGATGGAAGAGATGGTGAGTAAATGATAGCTCATGAGTAGGTGAAGAGGTGGTGAGGGTGTAGTGATTTGTGTGACGTCTGGCTGTGCAGTGCGTGAGAGGTGTCCCTAAAGGGGCGAATGGTATGAATGCTGTGCTGTTCTGTGCATAGGGTATAGGCTTTGATGAGTGCTGTCTATGCTATGACTGTATCGTAAGTTCTCTACAATAGTATTGGAAGTAATGGTGTTTAGAGTGAAAGAGAAACGCTTTGAAGCGTTAGTACAGTATAGGAGTGACTGACTGTTGGTTTCATTCATTTTGATGCTTATAGTGCTTGAAGTGCTTGTATTCGCTATACTGTATTGCATTGTATGCTATACTCAACGCTATGCTATGGGAGGCAGTAATCAGTGATCACTGATTGCCATCAACTCATCACCAAAAAAGCGCCATAAACTGTGAAACTGCGGACACGTTGTGACGATCGTTGCCATCATTGGGATCCGTTTGGGTGATGACTGGCCGCCAATGCATGTGTGGTGTATGTGTGAGAGTGTAGTGCGGGTGTGAGGGGTAGGCCTTTGGCTATTGTGGTGACCAGTGGTGCACACTCTTCACGGCTGGCCTTTGGGTTTGTGTCTGCTTTGATGTCTCTTCGCCACACATGACATAATGATAACCGTATTAGACATGAATAGTAATGCATTCCTCCCTGTCTTCAGATGACATGTGCACCAAAAGTGTCGTTCGTTTTCGCTTTTCACTCAAAGATAATTGCGAGACATTAGAGACATTAGACCTCAATCTGAGCGACAGTTCCATCGAAACTCAATCCAAATATCTGTCAACCATTTGTTCCATACGTTCGACAATTGGTGTCAAACCTAATAACCAATTGAATACCGAAAACCTTAATATGAATAAAGGGCTCCAAAACGGCCATCAATTGAATGACAAGAGCTTTATTGATCACAATTTGGACATTAACTCAATCACCACTACTACTAGTTCTTCGAGCACCTCATCGGTAGTGAGCACTTGTATTGACAATATTGGCACCTCTTGTGAGCCAACAATGGGTTTGTCAAACGCCACCTCCAAAGACAGTCTAACACAACATCTTTTACTCAATTCATTGAAGTCCGGGAAACCAGAAAACGGACAGCGAATCGATTTGTCCTCCATTTCGTGGACTGATTTGAAACACAACTCAAACAAAGCCATGGATTCGGCCACACATTCGCCACAAATCGAGACCATCAGTGAGAGTCAGACACTCGACAACAACTGTTTGGCTCAAAATTCTCCTCTCACTGACCAAACTGTGGATCAAATGATCGAAGAAGTCCTCAACAAAAGTGATTCACAAGTGAGAGAAGAACTGACTTCTCAATCAATTCTCGAGAACAACACCAATGATGAACAACAACCGCAACATCAGTGCTCTTCTGGACACCCCATCGATCACTTGAACGGTACGAAAAGTGATGGACTCTTAGAGTGTGGACCGAATTTGGATACAGTTGTCGGGTTGGAAGCGATAGATGCGACCGAAGAGCACATGTCTTTAGTCCGTCAAACGGAGCGATTGATGCGACGGATCAGACGTTTGCAATTCAGACAAACGCACAAACATTTGACTCAACAAATGAAAGCATTTGTCAAAAACCAACAAAACGTGTTGAGCATCGGGTGTCAGAGACAACCCGAACCCAACACCCCGTCTGTCACTCAACTTCAGTCCCACTCGAATCCAGTCGAGGATCGGATGAAACTGTTAACTCCCGAAGGGGTGAAAGGGTTGTCCACTTCGGCTCTCGTCAATCTCGTGAAGAGGTTGGGCTCAACGACCACTCCTAACAATGAGTCCAACCATTTGCGTGACTATTATGCCCAACAAACACCAAATCGACCACAACTTCAAACCCCATCCATCACTTCGAGCCCCCAATCATCCACTCTTTTACCTCAAGTAACCCAAACGCCCACAACTGGGTCTCAACTCTCCCAACAAGTATCCAATTCTAGTGAGAAGTCGTCTTTAGTTAAGTTATTACAAAAAAGTCAGTCCCAGTCGTCATCACAACCGCAACAACACACCAGAGTTAACACCGAAGACAAAGACGCCATTCTCAACACTATCGACACACTGTCCACTAATTTAAGACATTTCGAAAGCAGATTCGATTCCGACGCCACTGACAGCAGTTCCGGAGGTGAGAGTTGTGATGAACTCGAAGATTATAGTGAGGATTCAGTGCCACAGCATTCGACTCCCATTCAACAAACCACTGGACACTTGTTTCCAATGTATGTACTATTGATTGATTTGATTGTTAACAGTAATTGAATGAATTGTATGCTTCTATTAGGCGAAAGAGATCGTGTTGGAAGTGGTGTGTGGAGAGGGCGGCCATAGCATCTCGATGGACATGGCTTCAGGCACAGGTCGCGGATCTCGAATTTCGGATTCGGCAGCAAAACGAAATGTATCGACAATTAAGGGCTACCAAAGGGTCGATATCTTTCGGAACGAGTGACCACAATCTCATGGTTCCGACGCCTGTTGTTTGCAAACCAAACACATTGAGTACTTCAGTGACAACTAATGGACAGCCACTGCAAACACAAAGCCAAGTGACGGGTGATGTGTCGGCGCCACCACAACAACCGCCGCCGACACACGCCGATAGTGATAGTCATTACTGTATGCGAACTCTACCGATGAATAGTATGCGAAAGCGAAAACTAGTCCACTCGATGAGTGCTCTGTCGGGCGCCACCAGAAAAGCTGCTAAATATTCGACAATTCAGTGCTCGTGCAATGGTCTGCCGGACATGATGTGGCCGTGTGTGCTGTGCAACGGCCGCTACAGCTATGTCCATGTCATCGACACCGACTCTATGCCCCACTTCGAGAGGGTAGCCCTTCTCGACTCGGCCTGTCATCCCGTACTCTCATTAAACAACGGTAACTATCGTTCACTCATTTTGTGTCTCATTTTATGCCTCAATTAGTGTTTAAGGAAATAAGCAGTGAATTATAATATGCCATACCTTTGCGATTATTACGTGAATTTTATTTTTCCAAACTTTGCTCATTCATTGTCAGACCTAAAGTTTCCTGTTTGCTGTGCCGACCCTTCCCTCCATTCATTCAAATGGATTCTACTTATTATATCACAACATGTTATGCATTAATTGCTTTAAATCCATCTTAAATTCATTAAATTTAGGATCAAATCGTTTAGGTTTATGTTGTTATCACTATATATACTGTTTATTCATTAAATGTTTTTATTTCTCTTTTTCTACAAGAAATACTACAATTTGAGAATTGAGTTAATTTTAATTGTATTTATGTTTAGTGCCTAATATTTTTGGACAAATTACTATTATTTGAAATAACATGAGTTTACATAATTATAAATGAAATTAAGTTTTTTTCATTAGTTGAAGATTCAAATTAAATAATTAATGAGTTTAATTAAGCGGAATATAAATTACATGTTACAAAATATGTGAGAAGCCTTTCATTCAATTAACTAATGTGTAAATCAATTGATTTGTGTTTTGATAATTACGATGAGTGAAACATTTTCTATTGGTTAACAATTCAATTAATAGTAATTCAATTGTCGGTACAATTCTTATATG